TCTGGCCCATTTGGCTTAGAATTAGGCCCAAGATTGTGTAAATTCTTTAGCCCATCACAAGGTTATTGAACATTTGGCCTTGTACCAATTCCACCTACTAAAGATTGGTCGTAGGTTCTGTACCGCCCTACTTCTTTGTCTTTTCTTGCATGCCCAAATGTTTCCCCTATAAATCTCTTTTTCATTCTTCTTTCCTATATCTTCCATTTTCATGCAAATCTCAACTAATCCTTGGTTTCTACTTAATTTGTTTTCTCAGTATTCTCTTCCTCCAATCTCCTAAAACCCCTCCATAAGATAGCTTCATTGGAGATCAAGAGCCAAGATATATAAAAATAGCTATGAATATAGATTTCAACCTTGGTATTTTTCAAGTATGACTCCATTTAGGCTTATGGACACTAACCGGATGTCTAAAAGGAAGACACCAATAAATTGAGCATTGCAAATAGAATCAATAGACTCGAAGACCTATCTCTTCCACAAGTGGAATGGCAACCCAACAATATTTACCATAGCTCCACCTAGCACTTTGGAATCCTTCCAATTTGAAACAAGAGGTCATTTCATAACTGTAACAACTTCATTTCTACTTGAAAGTTCAATGCCTTAACTTCCGACCAGTCAATAATAGTTTTGCAATCTTCAAATAGCATGATTAAAACTAGGCTCTTCAATTTCAAATTTTTAATTAAAGTTATTGATATCTCTTGTCAGTCATTTGATTTCTTCTTTACTATTGCCACTAGTTTATTTCCTCAATCCACCTTCTCACTTTTGTAGTAGATTTTACCAATATCCAAACCATTCACTAAAAGATTTGCTCCCAAATCCTTCTCTTAAGTTGATTCCTCCACCTCTTGTCTATCCTTTTTAGCTCTTTTCCTCCATTTGTCTTCAAAAACTCCTACAATATTTGTTTGATCTCCAGCCAACTTGAATCATTCCTCCTTTCAAACAAACACATCAATTGTTTCCTCCTTTCTCCAAAAAACTCATGCATATCTAAGAAATTACTCTTGTTGTTCCTTCTTCTCTCTAGAAAATACCTTCTCTTTGCTACTTCAGCTTTTCCAATCTACCTCTCTATTGCTTTAAAGTGCACCCTCTACAAAGAGTTTGAGCCATTCAATCACCTCACACCCAACTAATAGTATCGTGACCTTCCACATCTCTCTAACTTTTAGAGTAGGTTTTCCTTTCACTTTAATCCTTTTAAGTAGTAGGTATTTTGCTCCAACTTTCAAAAATCCTCTCCAAGTTGTTTGTTGTACAAACTCCACTCTTTATCCTAACCATTAATCTAGAAGCAACATTTAACTTAACATGGATAATGAAAGTAAGACTATAAATTAGTGAGTTGCACCCAACTTGTCCTTGTCCAACCATTCTAAGGTTTGTTGGATATGAAAAGATCCTTCAAAAACATTTACTTGTTTCTTTCAATAGCTAGAGTAAGGCAATAGCTCCAATTCAAAATCCTATCCTTTTTGACAAAATTCTAGTTTTTCCTTCACCATGAATTATTCTCCCTTGCGTAACTTGAAATAATTAACTCTAAGTTGCCATTAGATTCTTCCCCAGTTTTAGTAGTAATCTCTACAAATCATCTAAGAAATAATTTTTAAAATACTAGGAGGGCTTCATATCAAATGGGAACAAGTATGCAAACCTAAAATACTAGGAGGAATTGGTATTGGGAATCTAACAAAGGAATACAACTCTGGTAGGAAAATAGTTTTGGAAATTTCCTCTAAAAAGAGATAAATTATGGCACAAAGTCATTGAAAGCAATCATGGTACAATAAAAAATGATTGTAATGCAAATTTGGCATCTCATGCTTCTTCAAGTTCCCTTGGAAAGTAGTAATAGAGGTGTTACCATTTTTTAAACTTCACTCGTTCTAATGTAAGCAATGGGGAGATAGTTTTATTATGGGAGAATCTTTAGACCGAGGATTTACCACTTAAACTGTAATTTCCCTTATTCTTCTCTTTATCCAATTACAAGGCCAAACCTATCTCAAAATTTGGTTTACCCATGAAACTTGGTTTAAATTGGGATTTTGGTTTTAAAAGGGGTCTGGGAGATGATGAATGTGACTCCCTTGTTTTCTTGCTATCAAATCTAGAAAATGTCTTTTTGGACCCTAACTCTCCAAATGAGAATTTGGTTCCTCTTTCTTGATGGCCTTTTCTCTAATGCTTCTTTTTTTAACCTTGTTGTCTTATCAAAAACCTTGGGCTATGTTTGGTTCCAATGCAATTTTATTTGCACTAGTACAAATGCATGGAAGTGCAAATGAAAATAATGTAAATTGTCATTTAATTTTATTTTGGATTTTACTTTAATTTAATTCATTTGTACTGCAATCAAACAAAATAAGCTAAAATTTGGAACAAAAATATATCAGAATTTACACTCAAATAATTTGAACTGCCATAGTTTTGTATCAGTGCAAATTTATTTGCATTGCAACCAAACATAGCCTTGGGGAAAATTTTCCCAGTAAAAGAAATATGGTGCAGACCTATACCTCCTAAAGTACAAGCTTTGTATTGGGAAGTTCTCCTTGGAAAGATTAACACCTATGACTTGCTATAAAAAAGAAGGCCAAACAAATCCCTCTCTCCTCATGTGTGTATCATTTACAAAGAAAGTGGTGAGACCCTTCCTCATTTACTTTTTGTCTACCCCTTTGTGTCTTGTATTTGAAAATACATTTGTTCTCTCTTTGGTTGCAAATGAGAACTCCCACAGGGTGTGGTAGGCTTATTCAACTCTAGTTTCTTAGGCAACATAAAAAGAGAGGAAGAGTATTGTAGAGGACAAGAGAAGTGTTTATTTGGACTGTATGGAAAGAAAGAAATCAAAGAATCTTTAATGAGAAGAGCAAATCAAAGGAGGAATTGATTGAAGCCATAATAGTAAAAACAATACATTAAATAAAAACGTTGGACATTTTACAAGAATTCTCAACAAATAACATAATTAGGCCTTGAATTGAAGTAGCACAAATAGTTAGACATGCAAAAAGTGTAAGAATGGTTTGGAAATCTCCATCTTTTAACAAGCTAAAGTTGAACTTTAATGGTAGTCCATTGGGTAATACAAGAAGAGTAGGAAAGGAAGGTGCTTTTAGAAACCACTAAAGAGTGGCATTGACCTAAATTTTAGGGCCAATCGATTTTGGAGATTCAATATAGGTTGAAGTTATGGCTCTCTTACATGGATTGAGGCTTGTAGGGCCGATATACACCATACCGACCAGGCGACCAATACATAGTGTCTTCTATTAAAAATGTAAATGATCCTAATAGCATGATTTGAACCTAGATCATCTCATGCATAGCATTGAAACTATTAGCCATCTCATGCCTTGTGATATTTAGCGAAATAAGCTTTTTATATAATTCTTATTAACTTGTCTATCCAAACAAATAATCAATACTTATGTTCAACAACTTCAACTAAAAATTAAATGAAATAATATTAAAATTAGTATTTTAATAATAGAATAATTACCTTATTCCTTAAAATTTATAAATTTGTGCATGATATATATCTTACAAATTTTATATATTTTATAATTATTAATTTAGGTTAGATGATAATATATTTATTATTTACAAAAAATAAAAATAAAAATTATAAAATATTCAAGAATATAATATTAAATATAATCTATCAAATCCACTAATTTACATTTATATGAATAAATGATTTTTAATTTCAAAAATTTTATACAAATAAAAATTTTAATGATGAAATAATTATTTTAATAATTAAAAATTATGAATTTTCATATGATATATATATATATATTAGAAATTTTAATAGATTTGATATATTTTAATTTAAAATTATATATTTTTATAAATTATTAAATTATAATTTAATTTTCATTTGAGAATTTAACATTTAGTTAACTTTTTTTGTTAATGTTAAAAAGTAAAAATAATAAAATAAAAAATAATTGATATAATAATTAGGATAAATATAATAGGTCCGTCTTGGACTCTTAATGCATTGTATAATATCTATGCATTCTGATATATTAATTAAAATATTTTTTTATGTACACCATTGAATATATATTTCTTATATATTTATACATTATTTATGGCTATTTGACCATAAATTTAATGTATTTATAAAATTTGTATGTTTTTCCCTAGTGTATCCAAGCATTTTTCATATTTTTTGTCTGTATCTATACATTTCCAAAGCAAATCCTTATTCATATCCATATCCAAATTGTCTGATATGATATTTGATACCGATACTTTAATCCCCGTGCATTACAACTCGGAGTAAGAGACTTGGAAACTAAAAGAGATCCATAGTTGGTCATTTCTTGGCCCAGGAATTTCAACTCAATTCCTTAGAAATACAAACACGCTTTCAAGGAAATTATACCCAAGAAAAGAAATTCAATTCTATTTTTGGATGGATAAGGCCTGCAAATGGCTTGGTAGATGTTCAAGCAAAACAATGAGTTAACAGACCTAGTCTGTTTTGGACAAATTTGTAACCTAATGTACTTTCAGCTATTGGCAACTTGTTAGCTGTTTTGGATTCTGTAACCGTGGCTTGAAAGTTTTGGGGGATGGCACATCAAATTGTATTAACTACTGCTTTAATTAATTGTAATAAAATAAATCTCCTGCCAACCAAAAAAAAAAATTGTTAAAGTTCTCTTTGCATGTTCTTTATGTAGAATTCACTGCATTTAGAAAACTCCCTATAGCTGATTCACCATTGCAACAGAAGTCCAGACTGTAAGTGAAATGATTGAAGAATTGCATAAAAAAACTAAGCCAGAGTTTGTCAAGAAATCACTGCAATAGAACAGCTTGAGGGGTCATGGGATTTTCTGATTTTACAATGGCATCCCAACTCTCAAAGAAAATACTGATTGTTGAATGGCTTCTAGGGTAGGGAGACTTTTAAAATGACGATCAACAGTTGGTTCATAGGCATAAAAGAGAGCAGTGCTGCGAAGAATATCATGCAAATCAATTGATTTGTATTTGTAATAAGGTAAATATGAATGCATTTACATCCAATTGAAGTAAAGGTGCTTTCCCGATACAAATATGTATATGAAGCAAACTTATTTAAACACTCCATTTGAGCTGGATCATTCAAGCTTCTTTTTTCCAAATCCAATCAAAGCAAGAATTGCGCCAATTATACTGCCATCCAAAATGGCCCTCAATATCCTAAGTTTTCCAGGTGTATATGGTGGGTACCTTACAGGTGCATCCCCATAAAGACTTCTGTATAAAACTGCCTTTTTGTGGCTAAAAGCATCAAATGAGAACTTGCCATGGTATGAACCGATTCCACTCTCTCCAACTCCTCCAAATGGTAAAGATGGATTTGTGAGCTGCAGAATCAAGTTGAAGGCATATTTCTCAGTTTTATACATAAATATATGCATGGCTGTCAAAACATGTAAGAATGCATGGATGAAAAACAAGCATCCTTGAAATCTTCACAAAATTATAGTGTGGCCATGTATTGGAGAAGGGTACAGAAGGGTTCCTTGTCATCGGATCCAATATCGTGTAATGGTGTGGCCATGTATTGGAGAAATTGTTACATGGTGATAACCAAATTACATAGCAATGTGGCCATGATGTTGGGTGTATCTGTAGGCAATTATGATAATAGCCATCTTCTAATTAGATAAAACACCACCCAAGTATGTATGTATGCATGTCATGCATATTCATCTACATGTTTGTATGTATGGATATGCATGTAAAAATGCAATTTTTTAAAAATTAGGTAGGATAATCACATGCACAACAGTGTCGTTGATGAGCATCCCTCCTGCAGAAATGTTTTCCACAAATTCCTTCTCAAGCTTCTTGCTACTGGTGAAGAGATATGCAGCAAGAGGCTTTGACCTTGATTTTATGATATCAAAGCTGTCTTCCACCTTGTCAACCTTTTCCAAGCCAGAAGAATACTAAAATCAATTTCAACCTTTTAAGTTTTGCATAAAATTATAGGCCTTAAAGCCCAAAAGATTATAGAGACAACTTTACCAAACTAATGGGGTGCATGTTACCAGGAGAAAGAATTTCTGTTATAGGACTTGGTTCTCACCGTTATAATGGGAAGTAGAGGTCCAAATATCTCCTCATTCATGATCAGAGAGTCTTCTGGAACATCCAACAAAATGGTGGGAGCAATCATTCTGAAATGGATTGAACAAAGTGATAACAGCCTTAATGCTTTGTCCCATATACTGTAGCTTATTAACTGTCAAAATAACATGTAATTGGTATAATAGAACTCACAGTCTGGTCTCATCTCGTTGGCCTCCATGGACAATTTTTCCAGAAACTTTATCCTCATCCAATAACTTTGCCAAGCGTGAAAAGTGATTTGAATTAACAATGCGGGACAGGTCCTTTGATTCCAATGGATCCTTCCCAAAGAATTCCTCTAGTATATTTTTCAAACCATCAATCTGGACAAAATGTAGCATCGGTGGGAAAATAACTTAGAGAAATGCATCGTGTGAAAGCATTCACTCAAAAACAGGCATGCATACCAATGTTGGAGCATAAGCTTTTGTGGTTATAATGTAATCAGGAGCAATGCAGGCCTGTCCATTATTGCAACCCCACTTGCCTGCAGCTATCCTCCTTGCTGAAACCTTGGAATCAGAAAGACAATTTTTATCAGCATAACAAGTGTAATAAATAATGCACCATTCTTAGCAGGAAAAAGATTAAAATAAAAAATAAAATGGCACCATAACATGAGCTCTCAAGGAATATAATATTTTATACTTTTAAATTGACATTTGAATCAACAACAACTGGAGATTTTCCTCCAAGTTCCAAGATTACGGGTGTGAGGTGCTTTGCAGCAGCAGCCATCACAATGCGTCCCACTTTTCCATTACCTGCACTTTTTAAGATTACGCTTGTTAGATTAAAATAATTCCCAGAAATCAATTCAAGCAAGGACACTACATCATCCAACTGTAAGTATTATCTCTGTTTGCGTAGCTCTATAAATTTTTTTTCCAAAAAGGAAATAAATAATATACAGATAAAAACCTGTATACAGTATTTTATCCCATTTTTGCTCCAACAGTGCAGTTGTTTCAGCAACAGCTCCCTCCACAACTCTTACAGCAGAGGAGTCAAGATAGTCCTCTAATAACTTTGCAAGCAATGAAGATGTGGCAGGAGAAATTTCTGATGGCTTTAAGACCACAGAATTACCAGCAGCAATAGCTCCAACAACTGGATCAAGAGATAACACTGGAAAGGGAAAAATCGTAGTAAATAAACATTACATATATGTTTTTATTTGAAACAAACACTCTATTAGCATTAAAAACAACATTATATAGAAGGATGATGTGTTGGATAACAATGACATGATGGATGACAGCAAGTATATCATTAAACAACAAACCAAACAATATGAGACAGCTGAAATTAAAAGGTAGGAAAAAAGAGAACGGTTTCACAAAATCATATGGTTGGCTCATTAGAAAAAAATGGTCTTAAAATTCGTAAGGAGACCAATGACCTAGACTTTTCATAATGACTAACATCAATTTTCACATACTGCAGCATTGTAGATAATCTTTTCAAGTAAACAACAATACAAGATTAATATTAGAGTTAGGATGCACGAAAAAGATGTTGAATAGACTTCAAAATCTTGTAGAGATAAGAGAGTTAAATTTCCAGGATACAAAGTAGTTCAAATATCTGATCAAGAATTCACTGAATACATTATAGATAACTCCAAAGATCCAAAACAGAACCCCACATCCTTGGTGGATTTTTTTTACCAGTAAGGCAGTAACTGTGAAATTCCATTAATAGAGAATAGTAAATAGTGAAATACAACAAAATATACAAACAAGGAGAGATAAAACATCCTCTCTCTCTCCCAAAAAAGACTCTTTCTTATTTTTATAATTGTGCCCAAAATAGCCAATCTCTTCCTCCCACTTGTTTAGCTAATGCATCAGCAGCTAAGGAATTGATGCTTCTTTTGACCCATTGGAGTCTCACTTCCATGTTTGCTGTCATCCATTTGAATTTCGTTCTTTCATTATTGCATTTCCATAGTTTTAACTCCTCACTTCCACATCCTTCATGGACCTTTAGTAGCTAGTGGATGCTTGAATTTTTAAAATTAGAAACCAAGTCGTTAGTGTGTTATCATCATCATCATCATCATCCATGCCTTATCCCAACTATATAGGTCGGCTACATGAATCCTGCTTCACCAATCCATTCTATTTAAAACCATATCCATTGTTAAATTATTAGTGCTTAAATCATTTATTACTACTTCTACCCATGTCCTTTTTTGTCTACCCCAAGCTCTTCTAGCCCCTTCAATATGTAACAAAACACTTCATCTAACTGATGCAGTTGGTGGTCTTCTATGCACGTGCCCAAACTTAGTCTACTCTCTCTCATTTTATCACCTATTGGAGCTACTCCTAGATTCCTACGGATAACTTCATACCTAATCCTATCCTTTCTAGTTTTTCCGTTCATCCATCTTAGCATTCACATTTCTACCACATTCATTTTCTGGACACATTTCTTAACTTCCCAATGCTCTGCTCCATACAGCATAGCTGGCCTTTACAACTATTTTATAGAATTTTCCTTTTTAATCTAAGTGGTATTCGCCTATCACATAAAAGTCCATATGCATCCCTCTATTTTTGCCTATCATATTCATTTTCTAGACATGTTGTTTCTTGAATGCCTAACACTTTGCTCCATACAACATAACTGACCTTATAAGTTACAACTGTTTCATAGAATTTTCCATTTAATCTAAAGCTCCTAGTGTGTTATCCAAGATCGTTATGAAGAAAGAAAACAACAATGTTAAATGGAAGTTGGAATTTGAAGAATACTTGGTATAGGATAGGTTTTGGAATTAAATGGAGATGGAATATGGTTTGCTAAAAACACGAACACTATTGTTCCAAAAAAAAAATGCCAAAGGTTAGGTCCTTAGTCAGAACATCCCTCCCAGGACACCAGATGACTGAGACCAACATTTGGTAATGGCCTTTCTTTGATGGAATTCAGCTGCCCTTTTCAGAACCTAGAAGCACACTCATCAAGGTATATTATTTCCATTCTTATTTATCATGTAGTGAGGTTATTAGTGGTCTTATTAGAACCACAGCATAAGAGAAGGTAGTCAAAGGTTTCTTTGTGGGTGGTGAGGGCATCAGGATATGTCAACTTATAAGCCAGTAATGAACTTCTTAATTACCCAGATGCCTCCTCTGTTTTAAGCTGGAATCAAGTCTCGGAATCAATTTCTTAAAAAGTGGCATTTTGGTGAATAGGTTTAGTTAGCAGACACTTGAGTGAAGGATGAGCATGACCACTCTTCGAACAAGAATTTGGACCTTCCCTTCGGGATCATAATTTTTTAAAATATCTTCCATATTTGAAATCCCTTGGCTCAAGGTGATAATGGATAAACAATCAGATCCAAAAAACAAAGATTTCCACTTATACATCCAACCAAGAAGAAAGCACTTTTCAAAATCTATAGACAAATCAGAGAGCTTTTATCCAGATACCAATGTTTTACATGCCAAAAAGGATTAGAGTTTTAGTTTCTAAAATGCTGGTAATTTTCAAAGATACTTCAGTTATCAGAATTGCTATAGATATAGTTTAGGATTTAGTACTCTATTTCTGCTAGAAATAGAGTACTGTTCAAAGATATTAACTTCATTTCATCCTCGGACTGTGGTTTCATTATACACTCTTGGGGGTATCGAGAATTTTATATATTCAAGAAAAACATAAAAAAGAGAAAGATAAAAGAAAGAATAATAGTTGTAGGCCTGTGAAAGATGGGATGTTAAGAGTTCTTGGAATGGTAAAAATTATATCAATAAAATGGCTTGGTCACCTAAATTATAATGCAGTATATTTTAGATCAAGTTATATATGAAGTGAGAGTAACCATCAAATATTTTACCAAAGTTCAACTCAAGTTGAATGATTTGCAAAGCTCTCAGGTATGTAAAATACTAAACTAGTAATTGTAAAGTTCCATATCAAGTAGAGTCAAAGTGAATCAACTTCGTTGGTATAGACAAAAGAAGAGGATGATGAAAGTGTTGAAAAGAAAAAAAGAATTTCTAATAGAGTTGGTGGGAACACCTAAATTCCATATCCTCTCCAAAACAGATGGCACACTATTCTATTTTTTTCTTTAGGAGAAACTCATGGAAAAATTTATTGATTTTGTCATTTCAATAGTGTGGATTTGATGATGTGCATAAATCTTTTGATGCATATCCAAGATTGGTCCATTGGAATCTTCCAGTATATAAGCATTAGATTCTTGAAAAGATGAAACCTTTCATAGTGTGTTGGTGTATATGGAAGGGAGTCATGTCATCATTGAAGGAGGAAAATTTGAAACAGAATTTGTTATAAATAGTCAACTTGTCATTATTTGATTGATTGTTCATACACAAGGAGATCAAGGGTCTGACCATAATAGTTTCTTTTATAGATGATATGCATTTTTTCAGGGTAATTACACAGAGCACCTTTGGTGCATCCCTTGTTTTTCATTCTAGAATATTACATATAAAAGGTTTCATCATCACCTTTGGGATGACAAAACCTTTTATAGTGTGTTACTGCTGGTGTATATGGAAAGAAGGGGATCGTGTCATCATTGGAGGAAAATATGAAATAATAGAATTTTTTATAATTAATCAACTTGTCATTATTTGATTGACTGTTCATACTCAAGGAGATCAACAGTCTGACCATAATAGTTCCTTTTATAGATGGTATAAATTTTTTCAGGGTAGTAACTATCACCTTTAGCGTATCCCTTGTTTTGCACTCTAGAATATTACATATAAGAAAAAAACAAAGAAACATGTAAAAGAGTTAAAGAAAAAGGGCATGGTTTGGAAGTGTCGAAATGTATTCCCGTAAGGAGTATTTTTGTCTTTCTATATAACCTTGTATGGCATTTTTGTAACTTTACAATTTCTAAAACAGTGAGTATCAGTTCAGGTCAATGGGGGAGAAGAAGTTGGTTTGTATCTTCTTCCTCAAGACCCCATTTCTCTCTCTCCTTTTGCTTTTTTCTGTACAAGACCTCTCTCTCTCTACTTTTCTCCCTCCTTTCTCTTCCTTTTTTCTTGCTTTTTCTCGTGTTGTGACATGGTGTCAGAGCTGTGAACTCAACTGTCGCAGTTCACAGCTTCCTTTTTGCGCCCTAGAAGTTGATAACTCTCTCACTTCAAGACAAAGAGCTAAAAGGACCTAAAAGTAGGGGTGCATGTGGACAGCTCGGCCTCTGCGGAGCGTCCGGGTACTTCTACTTCTTCGGGGCAGGCTCCTGGATGTTAAACTGCCTGGCGTAGGCTTTTCGAGCTGAGGCTGAGACTCCACCCGAGGCCATGCCCCCGGCGATGACATCGATGACGCCTGCCAGTTGCTGATGCTGTTGCTGCTGCTGATGGGAGGACAAGGCGCCGACCTCTCCTCCGACAAACTGCTTGAGGTGCTCGTGGCGGATAAGGGACTCTATTTCATTCTTTAGATCGTAGCAGTCCTCGGTGTCATGCCCGGTGCCGCGGTGGTACTTCCAATACTTCGTAGGGTTCCCCCTCTTGGGGTTCCGCTTCAGCTTCATTGGCCACTTCACAAACTTCTCTTCCCCGATCTACATCAGTATCTGGGTGCGGGTGGAGTTGAGTGGCGTGTAGTCCTTGTAAGCCAAGGTCGGAGCCGATGGCTTCTTGTTGTCTTTGCCGCCATGGTTGCTGGGGTGACGTTGGTCCCCGCCTTTCCTCCTTTTCTCCAAGGGCCCATCGTGGCGCTCGGTTGCCCTTTCTTGGTTGTCCCCGTCCGAAGCCTCTTCCGCCGCGATGTATTTTTGGGCCTTCTTGAGGAATTCGAGTTTAGTCTTCGGCGGGGTCTTAGCGACCGAGCACTTGAGGGCCAAGCCAGGGCGGAGTCTGTTGATGGCTGCGTGCATGGAGACCATAGGGCCGAGGTCTCGAACTTCGAACTCTTCTCTCCTAAAGCGGTCGATATAAGACCGCAGGCTTTCATCTGGCTCCTGTTTGAGCGACATTAGAGAGACTATGCTCTTCTGGCATCGTCTACTGCTGATGAAGCGAGCAAGGAACAAGGTTGTAAATTGCTCCCACAAGCTGATTGATCGAGGAGGAAGGCTGGAGAACCAGCGGCGAGCGGCCCCCCTGAAGGTGGCCTGGAAGGTCCGGCACGTCAAGGCGTCAGAATAGCCATATAGTATCATGAGCGCCCTGAAACCCTCCAGGTGGTCATCGAGGTCAGTTTTCCCGTTGTACATTTCCAGTGTGGGAGCCTTGAAGTGTGGGGGAAGAGGCTCCGAGATGATTTCCGGGGTGAATGCGTCCATGCGGCCAGCGGAGTTGCCGTGACTGGTTGAGGCATCTGCTCGGCTCTCCTTAACCTGGCGGAGCTCATCCTTGACGGCCCCAATCTCGACTTGCAACTCAGCATGCCCTGAGTCAACATGGGCATGGGCTCCGCTTCTGTCTTCGTGGACCCAGTGGATGTCGGCTCGGACTCCCGAATACTCTGAGACAGGATCGCGCGCTCCTCTGCTGGCGCGACAATCATTCAGAACGTCCCTGAGATCTGAGACGGCGGCGGTGATGTTGCTCCAAAGATTGATGACTATCTTCGGATTGAACGAGCACGCTCTCCCTTCAGCTAAGAGGACAAATGTTCCTTCGTGGTGAATTCGGGAGGCGGTTGTTGCCGATCCTGACGGTTCGGCCAGTGGATTACCGTAGCCGAGGGTCGGTGGCTCGATATTCTCGTGTCAGCCCTGATCCTCTAACACCCCAACGGGGCGGTCGCCTTGAGAGGGACCTCCTACTCGGGGGCAAACTTCTTCCATTCATTGGGTGAGGCGGTCCAAACGATCGAGGACTATGGTAGCCGAGGACTGCAAGTCGAGGCGAAGTCCCTGGTGACTAGAGATACTGCAAGACAAGGAATGTCAGAGGCCTCGAGCAAATACCCGAGGCAAAGGCTCCGACGCTCAAGTTAGTACGAGGTGTAAAGTAGGAGAGGCCTTGGAGATAGTCCTCGGGTGCACCAGATCTCCCTGGATTAATGTTAAGAAGACAAGGTAGGTGCAGGAAGTAAATGAGTGAGTGGTGTTGGAGTTTTTCTGCTCCGGATCCCCTTTAAAGGGCAGTTACCTCTTATTTATACTTGAGCGTGCTAGAGGTAGGTGAAGATGAACGCCCCCGATGAGAACCGTACGAGGTCAGGCTGCAAGACCTAGCGGGTATGTCTGACGGTCATGTGGTTGGCTCTGTACAGAGGCAGCAGGGCTCCCTCCTACTGTGGCTGATGATGTTAGGCATCAGTGGGCTGGGCCAAGCTAACCCACATTAGTGACCTTCAAGAGGAGGTGTACATGGAGCAACCTCTAAGGTATGTTGCTCAGGGGGAGGCTGGAAAGGTACACAAGGCCATTTTTGGACTAAAGCAATCACCACGAGCACGAGCATGGTTTGGTGGATTTAGTAGCGTGGTGCAGGAGTTTGGTCTCAAGCAGTGTGGAGTTGATCATTCCGTTTTTAGTAGGGATACTACATCTAGGAAGATTATGTTGGCTCTGTATGTTGATGATATAGTCATTACCGGTAGCGATGTTGGTGGGATTAATTACTTAAAACAGTTTTTGCAACAACACTTCCAAACCAAGGATTTAGGACCCTTGAAGTATTTCTTCGGTATTGAACTAACCTGCTCAAAGTAGGGAATCTCTTTGTCACAACACAAATATGTCTTGGATTTGTTGGATGAGACGGATCTACTAGGGACCAAACTAGTTGAGACCCTTATGGATCCTAATGTGAAAATAACTGATAGTCAACATTCAACAATCCTGGAAGGTATAGAAGATTAGTTGGAAAACTAGTCTATCTTACAATCACCTATCCTAATATTTCCTTCAATGTTGGAGTTTTGAGTCAGTTCATGCAAAATCACACAATCACCCATTGGTAAGGTGTTGTAAGAATGTTGAGATATCTGAAAGGTGTACCAGGCCAAGGACTACTATACAAGAAAGGGAGAGAGCTAACCTTAGAAGGATATTCTGATGCAGACTGGGCAGGTTGCACAATGGATAGGAGGTCTAGAACAGGGTACTATACCTTTTTGTGTCATAATCTCATTACTTGGAAAAGTAAAAAAGCAAAGTGTTGTTCCCAAGAGTAATGTTGAGGCTGAGTATAGAGCAATGGCCCATACCACTTGTGAGTTGATGTGGCTGAAACATCTACTCCAAGAGATAGGCATATAGGGGAGCTTGTCAAGTTGTTTTGTGATAATCAAGCTACCATTCATATTATGGCTTCCAATCTAGTCTTTCATGAGAGGACCAAGCATATAAAAGTAGATTGCCACTTTGTAAGAGAAAAGGTGACAAATGGTGAGAGATTGTTACTCCTTATATCAAGTTGGAAGATCAACTAGCAAATTTGTTTAGCAAGAGCTTGTGTCATACTAGAATGGATTATATTTGTAACAAGCTAGAGCTTTATAATATATATGCTCCAGCTTGAGGGGGAGTATTGAAATGTATTCCCATGAGAGGTATTCTTGTCTTTTGATATAACCTTGTATTTTCCCTATTAAGAATCACTTAACAGGGGCATTTTGTAACTTTACAATTTCGAAAACAGTGAATAGTCAGGTCGATGGGGGAGAAGAAGCCGGATCATATCTTATTCCTCAAGACCCCTTTTCTCTCTCTTTTGCTTTCTTCTGTACAAGACCTTTCTCTACTTTTCTCCCTCCTTTGTCTTCCTTTTCCTTGCTTTTTCTCGTGATGTGACAGGAAGCTGAAAGGAAAAGAGGCTACTGATTGCAGATGTTTTTCTCACCTTCAAGCAGCAGAGTAGCAACACAATCTACCCAAACAAAAGATACAAAGGGGAAGTTTAAAACAATACTGAACTAAGTTCATCACTATTTGATGAATTAAAAGCACATAAAGAAGGCCATATTTTATGAATACTGTACAAATATTAAAGGATATAAGCACAATCTGAAATGATGAAACAGTAGGACTGGATAAGAATAACCACTGGTTCTTTCACGAGAGTGATATGCAGTGAAGGAAAGATAAAATGGTGGAACTTATAGCAAAGGGAAATCGGATCTAAGAGTTCATTCTGTTGAACTTAGAACAAGAGTCATTTGAAAACAGTTTCAAAATACTGGCAAGTCACTAAGTGAGGAAATGGATTTGCAACATACAGAAAGGATAGTTCCATGCTGAAATTATCAACACAATGCCAAATGGTTCCGATACTATTTCTGCAGATGATGGAAAAGTTGTTATTGCAGTTTTTGCCTGCAAAATATTCAGTTTTGCATCAGTTACTATTTATGGCCTGTAATTATCCCAACTGGAAGAGTGGTTCTGACAAGAGTTACCTTCTCTGGCTTCATCCAATGTTTTAATTCCTTAAGCGCATGATTGCATGCAGCTTTGGTCAAAGAAATCTGCATTAAAATCAATATCATAGAAACAGAAAAAAAAAATGGAAATACAGAAAAAAAACACAGATACATAAAGATATAAAACCAGTCATATTCCAGGATCTTCCAGTTGAATTAATGCACACTTCATAATGGATTAAATTGACATCTCTACTTTTGTATAACAAGAATTTTAACATCACAAGCTGGGTGTAACTGTGCAAGCCTAAAAAGCCACAGATTGTCAATGTGACTGAGTCTCTTAGTGCACAAATTTTCAGTAAACAGAACATATAGTCAATAAACATGATTATACAGATATTCATCATTATTGCTAAATAAAATCTCAGAAAACCTGAACAGCTTACGGTCCAAACCTCCAGATTATACATTTCATCATCATTAAGTAAATGTTACAGTAAGTGTTGGTTGTCCATGAGGAGTTTCAAAGCAGGAACTTTGACCAGGATACCCTCTGAATAAAACCTAGTAATACTTTGTGTAACCACAATGGAAAATTACAATGATAATTCTAGCAGCTACCCATCTGCTTACAATTGATAACACCTTCAGTCGTGAAGATTCTTAAGCCTGAATTTTAGTCTAGGAATTACAATACGATAAATATTTTAAAGAAACAAATAAATACTGGATGAAAAGAGATTGAACTGGAAAAAATATCTACTGAAAAAGCATCTGTTTGGAAATCCTGCAATCACATCGACCTAGGCACTATACTTGAATATTCTGAACCACACCCTAGGAGATTCCTCCAGATTTATATAGAAATGGGTAGGTGGTGCGTCAAAAAGGCCTCTTCCAGAGACAGTGTTGCTCCTATTGAATTAATGGGACCCCATTAATAACCACTTTATAACACAATAATTCTGATTGCTTTTTGTATCATAATCACTCTAAATTGTTTTCACTTGATAACATGGTAACCACAGAGACACAACTCCTTTAAGGTATCTTATTCATAATATTGAAGCATTCAAACCAGATATTGCTTAATTATGGCTATGTTTAGTTTGAAAGAAAATGAGAGAGAAACAGAAAAGTTGTTAAGTTGCTAAGGAATTTTGCAACTGTTTTTTTGAAGATAAAAATAAAATTTATTAAGGAAAAAATAAAATACAAGAAAGGTAACAAGTAGTCACCCAAGAGAAGATCATAACAAGACCTTCTAAAAGAACAAACCCTTCCGTCAAAAACACAAACCACCAACCTCCCCCAAACCTAGAAAAGGAAACAACAATGAGAACCATAAACTTCAAACCTAATCCCCAATACAACACCAGCCCACAAACCAAAAAAAGACCACCCAAACCAAGAAGAAAAAAGAAACACAAAAAGCACTCCTAAAAGGAGAACGACAACTGCAACTTTCAGCCATTCCCATCCCCAAAACAATCTTAGTCTCAGGTACTTGACATTTATGGTATCTTATTGGCAGTACTGAAGCATTCAAACCAGATATTGCTTAATTATGGTGAGTAAACAAACTACAAAGAACCACATGAATGTATGAAGAACATTTTTTATAATAAAAAAGTTGTCAAACCAATCAAAATACAATAAAAAAGTTGTCAAGCACATAGTGATAGATATTACAAGTTTACAACATATCTTAAATGTTTATGAAGATCCTCAAAGCAGGTTGGACAATTAGGGCATTCTCATAATAACACCTAGTACTAGTTTGCGTAATTGAGACAAAATTATAGAGCAAACTAGAGCAACCACATACCTGCTTGCAATCCATAATCTCTTCAGTAACAAAGATTATGTGATTCTTAATCCTTGGTCTAGGAAATATGAAAATATAATTTCTTTGTTTTTATAAAAGACCATTGTCTGAAAGGTAAAGACGATTAAGACAACTGCAAAGTGGCATAATATTTGAACCACAGTAAGTATCTACTTGTTGAAACTTGAAACACATGTGCATAATGGGCACAAAAAAATAACTAAGTTGACAAATACTTCTAATGAGCATACCTGCCCATTGAAACTTGCACATCTTTTCAAAATAGATTGAAACGACCTTGTGACCATGACACTAAACCCAAAGATCCTGAACTACAGTCTATGACCTTACCTCAAGCTATAGATGGAACTAGGTAGGTGGGTTTGTCAGAAATGCCTGTTCCAATGATCTGTTATTTTCACATCCAATTGATAGGAACAATTAATAAAGGCAACATAAGGAAACAGTTCTGGCTATCTTGGTTTCACCCACACTGCAAAGAACAATTACCAAGTTACCTGAGAAAGAACTATTTTACATCATTTACAGCTGAACCCAGGTACAACTGGGTACCACAGGTTGCGAGGAGCACTGAAACATATACTTAATGACAGCATAGAACATATACAGCAAAACGTCAGGCAGGTACATAAACACCATATGACTATTGTATTATTTCTTAAAATAGAGATAAAAGTAAATTAATTCATTAGCTCTACCTCTCAGAAGTCCCAACATGTTTTCAAGTCAAAAAGGCAATAGATCTGCCTTTCACTTGGCATTATGAATAGGCATGTGAAGATGATCTAGAACCACAAAATTCTGACATCAACAAAAGCTCTGGAACTGAAGGAAGTTATACCCACCCAACCGCCAATGTGATATACGCTAGAGAGGGTTATGGAATTAGTTTAGCAGGGTGCATGAAGGACCACTGGCATTCCCCGGGTCTGAAACCTGAATCTCCTGAAAGAGAAGGATGCCAAGCGACCAACTCAACTTGAGGTCATTTGCAACAGATAGGGGTTCAGGAGCCAGAGATTTAGGTTAAGAGAAAAAACTAGCAGAAGTCAATAAACCTGACAAAAGTCACCTTTCTCCTATCGACTAACTAACTATAATATTGTCATAAAAAATTATTAAGGGAAAACATCTGTAAAAAAATTAAATTTGAACGGTATTGATGCCTTTTATTCTTAATGGAAAGCATCCAAAGTTTGCACAGATAGCACTAACATTTCCATGTTTTGATCAAATTAAATTAGTGGAAATGGACAATCAAGTTCAGGATAGCATTAATTTTGTCACAAACAAACTCTGAAGAACTGCTATCTACTCTATACAAATAGGTTTTTTAATTTTCGAGTTGCTCATCAAAGAACAGTCGGCAAGCCAAAGAACAAACAAAACCTCACTATATATGCTTTATCCAATAAATTTTCATCAACAACCAATCCCATGATCAACAAATCAAAACAAATAAATCAAGCAAAACTATAGCAACATTTCGCCGGTGCTGAGTTTCTGTCCCTTCGGCAGAATGGCCATATACTTAGTTTGACTTTTCCGAATAATGCTTTTTGAATATATCCATCAACGGCCATAAAAAATAAGAATCGAATTCACCTTTACTAAATATCTACCACTCCCTATTGGATTGGTTTACTGCTTTCTAATCCAAAAAGATCAGCTCGTACTCTTTCTACTTCTTTTTTATTGTAAAGAAGGAAGAGGAAGAAGAAGAAGAAGAAGAAGAAGAAGAAGAAGAAGAAGAAGAAGAATTCGGATTAGAATGGATAAGGAAACAACGGAAAATAGACGATCCCTGCGTTGATGATTAATTAAGAGAAGAAGAAAAACGAACCTCCGAGACAAAAGATTCGAATCTGGGTTTCGCGAGGTCCTGCTGGAGAGCTTCCATGATTGCCCTCTCATTGTCGTCGATCATCTTGATCATATTCTTGAGCTGCTGGACTCTCCACTCATAGCTCTTGGTCTTGCCAGAAGCGAAGGTCCCTCTGAGCTCCTTCAGGAGCGATGCAGCACTGTCACTATCGAACCTCTCCATCTTCTTCATCTCATCCTCCATGATCGGCCGAGATTCAGTTGCACTACTACTATCAGAGAGAGAGAGAAAGAGAGAGAGTCCTGTTAGTCTTATAGAGTTATAGACAGATAAGATAGAGAGAGAGAGAGAGAGAGAGAGAGAGAGAGAGAGAGAGTACGAAAAGGAGGAAGAGATGCGCCACGAAAAGCGGAGCGAAGTGGGGTGCGTTTGTTTTGGAGTGATGCTCGCCTCACGGTCGCCGAGAAGGTTTCTGATTCTGAAAGTAGAGTCAGTAGGAGTTTCAACTTTCAAGTTTGTTTCTTCTAAAATTTTGAGAAAAGAAAATCGAACTTCAAAGGAGGAGAGAAATGATAACATAATAACGGGAATGCTAACAGATTACGTGTTCGCGAAACTTCCACGCTTCTTAGCCTTACAGATATGAAGATTCCATGATGACGATGATGGGACCCACTAAACAAGATAATGTAAAAAGTTTCATTTCTGGGCCCCACCTTCTCTGTGGATACTGGGGAGAAGGAAACGATCAAACAAATGGTCGTATAAGCGCGCTGTATATTAGCATTCCTCGTGTGATAGTGAATGGCGAGCGAACGTCCAGATATCCAGGTGAAATTGATTGATCATTGAATCATTAAATTGAAGGGTATCATGGGTATATTATACAATTTGCAGGTATTATGGGCCAAAAGCTAAGAAACATGGGGCCAAACTACCGCTCAGCTCAGTAATTTGCCAAAATAAATCAATGGTTTTTGGTGAACGGTTTTGGTAAAATGGAATCAGCCACCTGAACAGTTTCCGATTTTTCCAATCTGATATACAGTCCGATTTTGAAAACCATGCTAAAAATAAATGTATTCCAATATTCACAACCAAATAGCTCATTCCAAACACTCTCCAAATTACCAGGATAGGTTGTCCAGCCCCCTGAATTGTTTTCTCAATAATTAATGGACAAGGAGATGAGAGGGTCAATCGGTTCTCAAAATAAGGCTACACGGAAAAATACATTTTGAACTGAAATTGATTAAGTTGGAAAGATCGATGGTCTATTTCAGTGCCACATCAAAAATCACTCCCTCGTTCACATAGCCATCTCCAAGAGCTGAGGGGCATCACTCCAAATCATAGAAATCAAGACCAACTAAGTTGGACTTTTCATTCGATTTGGTGAATCAACTGATGTGACAGACTAAAAAATGGGAATCATCTACCCACATGTGTTCATATCATTCTGACACACATCAACGGCTGACATGGCTACACATGAGCAGGGGGCGATATAAGGACTGTTTACCCCTTAAATAGGGTAAACCCGAAAGCATGGACTGTGATGCAACTCAAAAATCTGAATTGCAGTCTCCTTTTAGTGAATTAAACTATAAAACCCTCAACAGTAAAAAGATTTTGTTTCGTATCAATGACCCATCCATTTGTCTGTATCAATATCTACATTATTAATAAAAGAGTGAATAACCTCATTTTTTGGGCTTTTCATTAAATATTAAGCAATATATAATAGGCATAAAAAAAGATATATATCATTTATTCTTACTTCAAAAATTATCCACTTATAATTGTTCAAAAACTATCTATAAATTGTAAATCTGTCTTATCACGTACAAATACATATACACATTTACTAGTCTACCGATACAGGTAAATATATTGCTAAAATTTGATCCCTTATTTTCTACGCTTTTTGGGGGCCCATGTGGAGTTGAATGGTTTATCAAAGTATCATTTTTGTCAAACCCTTTGGCCTACCCATTCTGGACTGTTCGACCCATATGATGTAATAGATAGGGAAGGCTTTCACGCAAGGGAAAGCTATAAAAAAAAAATACAAAGAATATAATAGAAGTACTGTTTTTTGGTAGGAAATTGAAGGAATAACAACTCTCCATTAGGCAGCCGCCCAACTGCTTTCTCTACCCAAACAGATGGCTATTTCCGTTGCAACAAACATTAAAAGAGATGTCATCCGATGGATAAACTTGTCTTTTGAAGTTATGAGGGTTGGGACCAACTTCTTTTTTTTTTTTTGATCATTTCTAGATGTTTTTAATGGGACTTGATATGAAAAATATCATTAGGTGAATGGGTCCCATCGAGTCAAACAGTTCAATTCAATATATTTTGTTTAGTGGGTTGAATCCACTCCAGGGGTATCATGAACTGAGTTGGGCAAACCCAGCTTTGGAAGAAGATATATGTACCTAATTCGGGACTTCGAAGAAATTGGATATGAGAAAGAGACCCCCAGTACTTATAGTTTAATAATGGAGAAAATAGAATTAATGTATCTGATCCCATAAGGTTTGGACGATGATAGGGGAATCTATCAAAAGATCTTAGGCTCACTTTGAAAGGAATATAAATGAAGTTCTGTATTTTGTATTATTTTGTATGTATTTGTATTATACATATTTATATTTGTACTTTTTTAATATTAGACTCATTTTAGAAACAGTATCAATATAAATATATAGGGTGTAAAACTTTGTATTTTGTATGTATTTACATTATATATATTTGTGTTTATATTTTTTTCAAACTGAATCTTATGAATCCGGATATAACACAAACTCTACAGTTAATCAACTATACAAAAAAAAAGCCACATGCTAAAGCAGCTTATGGGAATTAATTATATAGATAAATTTATTTTTTCAAAAAATGTTGAATTAAAAATTTTCAAAGATTCAAGTCCCCACACGAAACTCGTCTCCGTCCAGGATCAAGGATGCAGGATAACTTTTATATAAAATACTTACATACCAACTGAGCCACCCCTAAGTTAATCAATACATAATGCAGTTTATATAAGATACTTGTATATAAACCTACTGTAATAAGGGCCCATTTGGATCATAGTTAAAATCAGATTAATAGTCTATTCCCCCACTACTTTGGTTCAGATGGAAATCAGAACCAGAATCTAAATCAGCTAGAATGGGATTTTCATTCCCAACTTCCAAGGGAGGGGAAGGAATGGGAATCCTATTCTAATTCTGCCCAACCAAACTGTTGAAATGGGAAGGGATATTCCAATTTGGATTCCAAACCCTTATTACTACAAATCAAATATAGCCTAAATTAATATGCATAATACATCCAAAATTAAATATTGTATTATGTACTTTAATAGAAAAAACAATTATAAATAGAATTATAAATTAATAATTTATAATTTATAATGGGGAACTAGAAATCCACAAATCAAGTCGATTTAGTATACAGAATCTTTATTTATTACATAAAAATATAAGTATTTTAGTTATATTAAAAAATACACAAGTTTAATATATACTTGTACTTAGATACATAATAGTATATTGATCCATATCTATTAGTTGGTATATAATGCTCCTTATCCGCAAAAGATATATATCAGACTATATCGGACGTATCGTATCATATAAATACTTTGAACTTTAGTTGCCATCTATCCCGTTCATATTTCAAGAATTGAAATCCATCATTAAATGTATCCTAACTAAAACATCAATTATGCTTACGATCAGCAAAACAAAATGAATTTTAACCATTTGGTTTAGATATTATCTATATAGCTGCTTTTTGGCTTAGGGCTCCATTTGTTTCAACATGAAATGGAGGGAAATTTTGAGGTTAAACTATATCAGTTTTACAAATGGAGCCTAAGGTTCTATCAATGTAAAATGAATAGGGAATTTTTTTTCAGGCTGTAATGTTTGGACTTCCCCTTTTACTATGATTTTCATTACCATTTCCGTCAAAACAAATAGAAATGGTGGAAAGCAATGCTTTCGTTGAAATATCATTCTGAGAAAAACAATTACATCCATTTTACAAAGAAACTGACAAAGCCTAATGCTCAATTTGTTTCAATGTGAAATGACAAGAAAAAGTATTTGAGCTATATTTTTATTCCTTTAAATCAAAGCAAAACAGACGGATATAATAGTTTAGGCATGATGTTTTCTAAGTTCTATCTGAAAGCTTGGGCCAAGTGACAAATGATGGGGACCCTAATCCATTTAGGACCTTTGAACCCAAGAACTTAACCGAAATAAAGTGTCATATGCACAGAGTGCCTTTGCGAGCAGCTGCTTATTATCAGAGAAAAAAGGTTAGAAACTATAGGGGTGATTATTTGCAGACCGGCCCGGCCCAGCCCAGGTTGGGGAGGTTATTGCCTTTATTGGTATTGGAAATGGGCTACCCTCTGTTGATCCGAGTTAACATTTTACATTGCTTGAATATTGGTTCTTTGGGCTGGGCCATTCAAAATTTGATATAAGGCCAACCCGAGCCCATCCAAATTGCACCCCTAATACTCCAATGCAGCCAAAGAAAGGCACCTCTGCACCCCAGCTGATCTGATGATCTATCTGATCATGACATCCTTGGACCTAAATCCAATCCAAAACCTGACATGTTGGATTTGGATCGGATTCCGCTTTAATTTACATCAGTCTTATTATGCTTAAAATGGCAAAAAATAAAACAAAAAACAAAAACTATTTTTAACTTATACATGTATAATAAATATATATAAATTAAAATATTAAATTTATTAATTATATATATATATAATTTTAATAGGATTTAAATGGAGATAAATCCACATAAAATCATTAATCGGATGCAAATTATAACATTTAAATATAAAATAATCGGATCAGATGTTGAATCGTGGGTGCATAGAACTTTTGGAGTATATTGACAGCCCTGGCCAAACTTGTGGAGCAGTTTCTCATAAACATAAAACTCTGCATAATTCATGGATTCGAAACAGCTATTTAGATCTCAAACATAGTTAGGATACTGACCTGGGAGCGCACACTTTCCCATTGTTAACCAACTTGACCAAAGGGAGAGAAGAAGCCTATACATTCATTATTAAGTTCATTAACTTTTCAAGACTTGTCAATTAATTGGCACAAAGAAAAATAAAAGTAACATTGTTTTAAAAACTACCCATGGTGTGAGGGAATGAATGCTACTCAAAAGATTTATTGAGTGAATACATGGCCAGACAGACCAACCAATCCAGAGGCCCCCCATCTGATGGAAGAGATGGATTGGCTATATCATCAAATTGTGGTCAGAAAGGATTAACTGAACATGTTGGCTGTTTAGCGGCCTGTAGAATCAATGATAATGTTTCATATCAGTAATAAAATGTATGGCCCCACATTGTTACCGGAATTAAACATTATCATTGGTTTCACATCCTGCTGAAGAGCCATCACGTTCAGCTAATCCCAATTTAATCTTAACCTATGACTTTTTGTATCTGCTCTCAAACTCTACCCACATATATGGGGAAGAGTTTTGACCAATTAAAATCCACTCATGAATTTTGATATATAACACCTGACTGGCAAGCACAGTTAACTGGTCAGAAATTTTTCAGATATCATATCTTTATATATTTTGACTTTTCAAGTTTTCACTAAACATAACTTCTAGGCTTTTATGTAAGGCCCACCTTACAATGCCACAAGCTTCCCCAAATCGACACCAAATAATGGCCCCTGGCTCCTCTACATGACCATGACCATCTTAGTCCTGGATTGACCATTCACACCCCTAAAAGATTGCTCATATGCCCCATCATTTATTATAGCTCAAAAGTAGCATTAATCGAACCCTTTTGGCCCCATGCCACATGCTTAGATTCTTGGTTCATTTAGGTCTCTTCCGTCTATGACTTTTCTAGCAAACTGTATCTGCATGTGTGGACTTTGAAGGTGTTCCTTGAACCACCTCACCTTCTTTTTGGCCACTAATTCTCAACCCTAAGGACTTCTGTCATGTGGCAGATGTATTTGACAATTTTAAGTTAAAGAAAGCTTTAATATAAATGTAAAAGAAGTACAATACATGATAGGGCATGATGTTGATGTGTATTAAAGAAATATCCATCTGACCAAGCCAAAAGCCAAAATGTCGTCTATCACATGGATAGTCTGATTAGACTAGCACTCAACGTGCCACAAAATCCTGCAATCATATAACATGGATGTTATGTTTAAATGACCATCTTTGGATTCCAAAAAAAAAAAAAAAGTAGAAAAAAGGATAGTTGGAACACTCAGTACATCACCCTTAAGGTAACTTCTTATGATTTACCCTCAAAAATGGGCATCCTCTTATAAACTATCAATCTTTGTCTGCCTTTTTAATTGTTTCGTTCCTATTCAATTTCTCTCTTTAATCAGAAACACATGTATTGAAGAATAAAAAGAAATTTTTTTAGAAGCCCCAAGGCAGGAAGAATAAAAAGAATTGAAAAACAAAAATAGTAAAAGAAATCATTCAAATTTTATCTTTTATTTTTTAAAGAAAATAACTAGAGAATTTGCTATATTAAATCCAGTACAGCTTATTTATCTATGTACTTAAAGTATTGGGAGGGTGTACGGCAGCATTGAGAGGTTGACACTTATATGTTTTTTGTTCTCTAAATTATTGATACGTGTGTCTCTCTACCTTCTCTTCTTTATTCTCTCTTTTTTCCCACTTTTCTTTGTCTGGAAAATTACAAGAATGCTACATATAAGGCAAATTTCCCTATATAATTGTGTTTGTAATATTCAAAAATTATAACAATGCCACATATAAGATAAATCTCCTTATATAATTGACTCAGTGGCATTCGAAAGTTACAGTAGTGCCACATACAATTATTTAAGATTATGACATCCTATAAATAAAAGGGGTTTTTATAGTTCAGTCCACCCTTAGGGTGGAGTTAGAATTCCTAAGGGTGGACTAAATCTTGCCCATGGATTGATGCCAAATTCACAAGCAAGATGTGGTTTATAGGGGAGGGGGTTGCAATTCAGATTTCTGAGGTGGACTGCAGTCCACTTACCCCTAAATAAAATGCCTTTCATCTTCTTTCTCAACTCTCTCTCTCTCTCTCTCCTATTCACTATCTCAACTTTTATTAATTCATTCATTTATTTAATTATTATTATCTAAACATTTATTTATTTAATACAATTAAATAAATTATTTATTTTAATAAAATAAATCGATAGAATAAAAGAGATGTGACATTAAGAGATAGATTTCAATAAACATTTATTTATTTATTTTACTAAATTATATATTTATTTAGAAATAATTTACTAACAAATTATTCTCTCCCCTTGAGCCCAATATTTAGTGTTGTCAACAGCTCGGGTCTGGTTCGAGATAGCCTATACCAAGTTCACATCACCACCCCACAAGGAGCCGCACAATACACAGCGAGATGTGTTGTGGGGCGTTTGTGGGGCAAAGATGTGATCTCGCCTATACCAGTCCCATCCCAATAAACATTTATTTATTTATTTATTTTATTTAAGAAAAACTAGGGTTAAACCAATGGGTTAGGTCTATCCTGATGGAGCTAAATTGATTGAACATATTTATAACGGTTTTGGTCCCATGATTTTGTCTTGATTAATTATTGGATTGATTCTCATCCTTACTTGTCCTGAATTGATTCAAGTTCGGAACCAAACATTTTATGAAATATATAATTTTTTTAGCTTTCTTGTATTTTTATCATGTTTCATATTTGAAATAGTAAATTTGATAAATAATAAATAAGAAAATATTGGTTAAAAATGTTTAACTTATTAACATAAAAATAAATTAGTATTATCTTGACTATTGTTTTCAATATAATGAGGTCTATGATTTGATCCCAATTAAATAATCAGTTCAAAATTGTTTCTACATGATTATTTATTATTCATAATAATATGATTATAGTTATTTTATTTTAAAAAATATAACCTAATTTATTATTGTATTTTCAAATAGGTGTAAAAAAATTGTATCTTCAAATGGCATTTTTAAATTTTGCCCCTGCAAAGCAGGGGTTCCCCGCTAGTCTATCAATGAAAACAAAAGCAAAATCTTGAATAAAACAACTCAACACTCTTGCCAAAGCTGAACTCGAGAGGAGACGGGTCTACTTTATGTGGTAATGTCAGTGTACCATTGCAAGAGCTAGAAATTCAACTACCCTCTCCATGACAACATAGACCAAAACGATTGGATCATATACAAGTTTAGTTGGTAATTTGATAGGAATGAAAATAAAACACATGGTCACTGCTATGGCCCGGGTTTAGCACATATGACAAGGGCTATAACCCGGCCTGGCCCCTGGACCTGAAAAATAAGTCTAGGCCCGACTATATAATATTTCATATAACAAATCTATAAAATTTATGTTATACATTTTATAAAATAAAATATTATATATTGTGTACTCTACGTGTTGTTTGTGTGTGTGGATCAAGTTAGGCCAAAGTTTTGGGCCTCGGCCCGGCCTATAAATTTTTAGGCCCATTGTGGGCATGGAATTGGCAATGCCTGGACACAAAACCTAGGCCCACGCCAAGAAATTTTCAGGCTGGGCCAAACCATGCTATAAATGATCACCTCTAGTCATTGCTAGTACTCTATTTATATCTATATTATTATTAAAAATACAAACGATGTAAACATTTTCTTCTGCAGTAAAATATCTCTATCTTTGAACTAGGTTCTTCTCTAATTTGGAGGGCATTTGAACTATTACTTTTTACCTCATTCAATTCCCTCTCATTAAGTTTCATGTTTAAGATATTAATTCTCATTCTATTTCATTAAATCCTTTTTCCCTCACACCAATAAGTTCATCTAATTAGATCTAAATTCAATTCTTTTAACAAATATAAAACCCATATTTTTTAAAAGGATTAATTACATATATATACCCTGTACAGAAACTGTTTAAATGTACCTTAAACTTTCGAAACCTACTTTATACATGCCTTGTTGATTGGCCCCACATAACACAAAAATTCAGCAAAAATGTAGCAAAAATGTAAAAAAAAATGTAAAAGAATTTCACATAAAACAGAAAATTGTAAAAAATACAAATTTGCAGAGAAATGTAAAAAAAATACAAAAATGCAGAAATTTAGAAAAATATGAAAATAGAAAAATAGAAATTGCATAAAAATAAAAATATATATATAAAAATTACAAAAAAAAAACACAAAAAATATTACAAGTAAATAACAAAAATACAAGAAATGCATAAATTGCAAAAAAAGGGAACAGAAATTATGAAACGTTGCAAATTATAGAAAACACTAAAATGCAAAGAAAATAAAAAATTGCAAGAAAAACAACAAAATTATAGTCAATCAAAAAAAATGCAAATAAATAACAAAAGTACAAGAAAACCAAATGTAAAAAATGTAGGGAAATTACAGAAATTGAGAGATTTTTTTATTTTTTAATATAAGAAAACAAAAGATAGAAATGTAAGGAATTTCTTTTTTGATAGAAATTTTCGTCATTTTTTAAATAGATATAAATTAAAAAATGTAGGAAAATGTAAGAAATTTAGAGAAAACATTTCTAATTCTTGAGTTCTTGAGTATTAGAAAGAAATCGAACAAAGTTAATCTTGAAATCCTACAAAATCCACCCTTTCTTCCTTTTCGACTAATGAGGAAATCAATGAACACAAATCTGGTTTTGAACCCAAATCTATTATTGTCCTATCTTCAATAGAGGAAGATGATGAACATAGATCTAGTTTTGAACCCAGATCTATCATTGCCCTATCTTCAATAGAGGAAGACAATGAACACAGATCAAGTTTTGAACCCAGACATGTTATTGCCCTGTCCTCAATAGAGGAAGACAATGAACACGGATATGGTTTTGAACTAGATCTACTGTGAATCTAATCTTGAACCTACCATTCCTCACTCTGATAGTGGAAAACTTTCCACCTTTCTTCCATGGTAGAAAGAACAGAGAGAGATCTACGCGAACACAACCTCTAGAAGAAGAAGAAAAAGAAGAAGAAATCGTCGGGGGTGAAAATGAAACTTTAGAGTGTGATGGGCCAACGAACGAAAGACCTCCCCTCAACCAAGAGATTGGCAGAACAGATTCAATCGAGACTCCTAACCCTTACTGACCCCAACCCATCTTGACCTTAATGGGTACCCTCGACCCAACCCACCCTAACCCTAATGGGTACCCTTGATCCGCCAATAGAATGGATGGGTATGGATGGGTTGCAAGATTGGTGGTTTGGGTAGGTCAAATGGGTTGGGGTCAAGATTGTCAGCCCTATGTATGGTAAGCTAACGAATCAAGGAATTACACAGCTAGAGTTTCAACACGACAAGAGACCAGTTGCAAAGGAACACAATGAGCATAAATTGGGTAGCCTGAAGGTTCTTAATTCCTACTATCAATGAGGTATGGACCAGTGAATTGTGTGACGTGCTTTGGTTTTATACTTTTTCCCTGGCTTGTAATGTCCTTCTCATTTCTCCTTGTAGGATTCAACATACAAATACAATGAGATCATCTTGGTTGATGCTGCCCATAATATCATCCGCAATGACCCTAGGATCAATTGGATCTAGAAGTCTATTCATATGCGCAAGGAGCTCTAGTTGTGTGGGTTCAGGGATTTGGTGTGGAAAGAAGAAAAAAAAATAAAGAAAGAAAATGTATGTATGAGTAGATTTTGAAAGTTTATGGAACATTTAAGTAGTTTCCTAAATATATAGGGTATATAAGTAATTAATCCTTTTTAAAAATAACCCAAGAACAAAACTATTTTTCCATCTGGTGGGTAAGAAATCCAATCATTTGAAGCAAATGGGCCAACCCATGATATGTCATATAGTTAAATAACAAGTTTTTTAAATAGAAATAAATTCAAACAATACAAAAATTAAAAGTTGTAGAAAATTTGGGCAGATCTCTAATACTTTCTGTTGATCATATTAAAAAAATAAGTGACAAGAAATAATTGTGTTTACTAATGATAGAAATGCAATACAAAATTTAAAAACAATTCAAAAAGGAAATTCTTTTCCTATTTAGTGTCAGGTCAAGATTCAACCTTTCAAGTCAAATAAATTAACCATTGATGCTATATAAATAATAAAAACTAAAAAGGATAAAAGCACAAACAAATT